CCCCTGTGCGACAAACTTGAATGAGTATTTCGTCAGTGTGAACATTGTTCTTTGTTTAATTTTCGTTTAATAAAATTGGCAGATCCCAAGTACAGTGGGAATCGATGATATGTGAAGCACGAATGAGAAATGTTGATATGTCACCTTAAAATCAGCACGTTACGAGGTGGAGGTCAAGAATGCCGTACATGACTTCCCTGTCATGATTATCATGTTTGGATGTGTCCTTTACCTTCGCCATCTATTCACGTCACTTGATGCCAAATTCAATATATGTGGAGCTAGCGAAAACAGCCATGAGCACGCTATGAGCGTCGTATGTTGTCATGTTCTTACTTGACACGCGTGTTATAATTATGTTTCCACCAGTCATATTTCGTCGTCCATTGACGTCACGTAACACCAAGTTTGGTTCATGCGGAGCTAGCAAAACGGCCGCAAGCACATTATGAAGGGCCCAATATACTCCTATGTAGCGTTGCCGGGCGTGCACAATGGGCACAGCGAAGCAACGTTAGCAAAACGCGAGCACTCTATGGTCTGACGCCAGGCGCAACCAGCGTCCGTCGGCGCGGCGTGAAGGCAACTGGTGAAAAATGCGACATGCTGCATTTCGGGCCGATGCGCTCTCTCTTTTCGTGACGGAGGGACGCCGAACACGCTGAAACGCACGTGCGTCAAAGCTACGCGGCGCTTGCTCGCGAGTATATGGCCATACCGGTGCCTGGCGTGGCAACGTCGGCGTGACGCGAAGAAGGGAACGCCGGCGAGCACGCGCACCGCGTCACGTTGAAATGTATTGGTGTCTTGACTGTGGCATGTAGTCATGTTCCCACATGACACGCATCACATGATTGTCATGTTTGCACCAGTCACATACGTTCGTCATCCATTGGAGTCGCGTAATACCAAATTTGGCATATGGGACGCTAGCGAAACAGCCGGGAGCGCATTAGTGCTGTGGCATGTAGTCATGTTGTTGCATGACACGCATGTCGTGAATATCATGTTTGGATGTGTCATTTACCTATGTCGTCCGTTCGCTTCACGTAATACCGAGTTTGGTACATGTGAAGTTAATGAAACGGCCAAGAGTGCATCATGAGTTGAGCGTAGCATGTAGCCATGTTGTTACATGACACGTATCTCATGTTTATCATGTTTGCACCAGTAATGCCTTCGTCATCTATTCACGTCCCGTAACATCAAATTTGGTATAAGTGATGCTGACAAAGCGGCCACCAGCGCATCATGAGCGCGGCATGTAGTCATGTTATTACGGGACACGCATCTCATTATTTTCATGTTAGGGTCTGTCGCTTGTGTTCGCCATGTAATCATGCCGCACCATACCAGTTTTGTGACATGCCTTGTGAACAGAAGCATCGCATGAGCTACAGGACCATGAAATGTAAATCATGACATTCATGTCAAGCATGTCATGATTTCTGGGTTATGACTAGTCAAAAATGTTCCTCATACCGTCATGTTATGCCATACCAAGTTTGCTTTTGATACCATCATTGAAATAGCCATGAGAGCTAAAAGTTGTAGGCGGCTAGATAGATAGATAGATGGATCGATACGCTCAAAGTAGCCGACGTTCGCTGAGAAATGCTTCGCATTTAAAACTGTTTCATCATGTCTCAAGCAGCCCTCTGAGTGTGCGTCTCAGCCCGGAAAAAGTTGGTTGCTAATATCTGAGAAGCGGGATGAGTAGGCCTAACGAACTGCGCGGCAGCATGAACAGCGAGGAACATCGGAGAGGAAGCACCCTTGCCGACAGCGACAAAGCGAATGTTGAGACTGTGCATCAGTCTAATTTCGCCATGGGTGCTGACCAAAGCAATGTTGTTACTGTCTGCGAACTGTTGCATGCTCTTATGGAAAATGACCGCGTGTTGACGGCGGTGCTCAAACGCTTGGCTCTGTCGGCGATGCCACCGCTCATGTCTGCTAAAACACCCGGTGGTATTACAGCGTTTCAAGTGATGCCCAACCTCAGCAAGAATACTTTAAGCTTCGACTCTGCACAGCTGGCCTGAGCCTTTCATGTTTCAGGCAGCGAAGTCCCGTTTGACTGAACCGGCGAGAGATTGGCTGCGTTCGAGGAGATCCGAAATCAAAACTTGGAGGGATTTTTAAGAGCACTTTCGACGGACCATTGTCAGTCAGACGCGTGCGGCGGAACGCTGGCACAAAATGCACGAGCACGTCCAGCAGCGCAAAGAAAGCTCAGTGGTCGATTTCGACATCAAGGTTTGTTTGTGCAAGGAAGCTAACTTAGATTTCTGGGACACACGTGAGCAGATAATTGCTGGACTGCGTTCGAAACAACTCAGAACGATGTTGCTAGGAAAAAGTCATGAAGATGACGACGACATCCTGCACGACATTCAAGAGTTCGAAAGGATTGAGTGAGAAAGCCAAGAGTTTTCAGGTTCAACACGTGACCGAAGAGCGATGAGCGACGAAACACAAGCTCGGAATGCAAGCGTGTCGTATGCAAGGCAATCAATCGACGAGAACAGTACCAAGGACATGCGGCCCCCTTAGTCTAATGAAAAGGGAGATCGAATGTGCTACACCTGTGGCGAAACGACCATATAGCGAGAGTTTCCGCAACCGAAACGGCCGATGAAGTCTTCGCTGCGATAGTCCAGACCATACACAGCGTCAATGCAACGCGGTGCTGCAGCGCGACGAAGCAAACAAGATAACATAGCCAGTACAGGAAACCAAGAGCGCAAGCGTACTGCTGCAGGAAGTCAAGTTGAATAGAGGCCCCACTGTCATTGGACTCATCGATACAGGAATTTCTGAATGTTTCCTGGGTGCCTCCGCAGCAGCGCAGTGTGGCTTAGAGATTGTTCCCGATACAACACCGTTGTATGGTTTTGAAAATAGCACTGTGCCTGCGACGAAAAGCATTTGAAGATGCAAGGCCGATTTACGGATCGATGGTGTTTTGGCAAAGGACATACCTATCCTCGTAGTCCCAGATGAAGCTCAAGCTGTCGGCTTATTGGTTGGAAGGAAGTTCACTGAGTTGTCTTAAATCACGCATGTGAGAAAAGGAGGCTCTTTGAAGATTTAGTGCTGTAGTGACTGTCTGTTTGCTCTTATTGAGCCTTAGGAAAGTCACCAAAGACTATAGCTCAGAGCCAAAGAGGAATGCGTTCGCCAAAGTGACACCGTGAGCTGCAGGATTGCGTCTACAGATAAAAGGCGCCGCCAGTTTGCACGAGCTACACCGGCAGCGGTACAAGTTTCTGGCCAAAACTCCAGTTCGGACGACACGGAGCAAACAAAGAACATGGTGAAATAGGAGCCCGTGACAACTTTAAGAGCTTTCGGAGAGTGTTGTTCAGCACGAGGCATCCACACTAGCGTCCAACACTATCTGAACTCGACACGCCACCCCTCAGGTTAACGCACGCGTCAAACGAGTGAACCGAACTGTGTTGTCCGTCATTACTACGGCAAGAAGAACCTGGAGCACCGTGATTGGGATACAAACCTCAAGTATGTTGAGTGCAGTATAAAGAATGTTGTGAGAAAAAAATAGCAGCATATTTACGGAGTGAATGATGGAGAGTGGGGCGAAGCATCCGTCCGTTCATTTTTTCTTGCTTCGTCCGTCCATGCGTGCGTCTGTGTGGCCGCCCTAGCGTTCATCCACCCGTCCGTGCGTGCGTCCGTCCCTGCGTTCATCCACGCATCCGCTCCTTCGCCCGTTCATGCGTCCATCTGTCCTTGCAGCCATCCATGCGTCCGTCCATGCATGTGTCTGTTTTTCCGTTCGTCCACCTATTCAACACTCCAAGTACCACCATCTCGCATATTTTCATCATATATTCTTTATATAGAAGCACCGCCATCCAGCGGACATTCCAAGGACTGAACGAGAAGAGGCACACGCACAATTTCTTACGGCTTGAGCTTCGTGTCTACTTCCCACCTTTAGCTACCTCGAGTTCATGGTATATGCTAGTTCATTGTAATCATGGCACTGCGGCCCAACGCTCGCCAAACCTTTCTAAAAGCAAGGAGGTTACGCCCAGCGAGTATAACGTGGCAACCCTTTCTTATCAGACAGTGCTCAACGTACATGCCAATGGCTGCTAAGGGGGAATGAGAGACAGGAGAATTTGGCTTTTAGTTAACGCGCACGCTGGGAAATTTTTATTGTGCAACAACGCACAGAAGAAATCTCCCACCGGCACCACCTTGGAGGTCAAAATGTAAGACTAATTACACACTACTACTACTACGATTTTGTCCCGCCGCGGTGGTCTAGTGGCTAAGGTACTCGGCTGCTGACCCGCAGGGCGCGGGTTCGAATCCCGGCTGCGGCGGCTGCATTTCCGATGGAGGCGGAAATGTTGTAGGCCCGTGTGCTCAGATTTGGGTGCACGTTAAAGAACCCCAGGTGGTCTAAATTTCCGGAACCCTCCACTACGGCGTCTCTCATAATCATATAGTGGTTTTTGGACGTTAAACCCCACATATCAATCAACTACTACGATTACGAGGGACGGACCGGTGCCGCTATAAGGAGCTTCCCCCCTAATAGTATGGGAAGGACTCCTTACGAAGTGCTACATCGGCTGTAAGCCAGTTTTATATGAGGCAACTCTGCAAGAGGTAGGAATTAATGAGGAAAACGCTTGAAGTGACCCAAGTGAGCTCCAGGAAACTGCGTGACAACACTCACTGGAAAAGCAAGCAAAATTAAAGCAGCACATGACAACCGGTATTATCCTACAAGGATGTATGATGTCGGTGAATTGGTATTCGTGAAGGTGGTGCACCAACACACGGGACACCCAACTAAAACGCAACTAAAATGCCGAGGACCTCTAGTGATAACGGAAGTATTGCCTGCCGACGACACGTACCGAGTGGCAGAGTTATACAAAGGTACGGCGAGTAGGTACGCTACGACAGCGCATGTTTCGAAGTTGAAAGTGTGGACATCTACAAGCAAGACGTCCTACCTGGATGACGATGAAGAACAGATCGAGCACTAAGCAGAACAAGATAAGTGCGACGAGCCCCTGGCAGTCTGACACCCACGGAGGCAACAGGTGGTACCTGCCAGACTACGGCACTGCGCGTTGTGAAACAGCTATACTTTTCTTCTGTATCGTCCTTATGTCGACGTTCAGATTTCACGATCGATTAGTGTTAATTATTTAGCCAGTAGCTAGCGCCGCCTATGTTCTGCGCCACGACTAGTGGCGAATAGCTCAGGTCTAGTCTCAGTGGCAGCATGTGCGCGTTCATGTGACATTGCGGATGTGTGTGTGTGAGTACGAGAGACATGCGTTGTTCAACGGACGCTGTGTGTGTCCCCCTGTGCGACAAACTTGAGTGAGTGTTTCGTCGGTTTGAGAATTCTTCTTTGTTTACGTTTCATTTAATAAAACTGTTTCAATAGGTCTCAAAACGCCCTGTGAGTGTGCGTTTTTACCAGAAAGTAGTTGGTTGCTAACAAACAGAAACGTTCTAATGAAAGCCCAACGCCAGCCAAAACGTACAATCCCCCTCCCCCTCCCGCGAGATACGGGCGCGCGAGCGTGCCTCCACCTTCTCCACTCGGAGGGATTAAGTACGCGTGGGAGATGAGAACGCATGCCGCCGTACGCTCATTGCATCATCTTGTTGATAATGCCGAAAACACGATAGTTCCCCCTTCCCCGAGATGCCCATCACTAGCGGTAAGTGGTAGATATAAATAGCTCGCCATTTAAGCGTTTCAGGTCGTGCTCCTCGGTGGCTCAGTGGTTACTGCCTCACATTCACGACTCAGAGGTTTTATGAAGTTCGATGCCGCGCACCGACATCTTTGAGGATTTGTTCGTTTTAGTGTTTTCATATTTTTAGATACGTATGCATATACGGTCATTGACGGCGACGCTCATGTCGACGCCGGCGCCAGCGGCACAATCAGGCGGAGAGTGTCCATATTATCGCTTTCGCAAGAAAAAAGTAACGACATACCCACGTCTTTCACTGTATGGCGATACAATCGATGCGCCCTAAAATTGTTTCGCTACTGTGATACAAATACATTTAGAAAATGCTTCTCGATACAGGCTTTTTCTAAAGACATTCAAAACAGACATTTAAAGGTATCTAAAATGATATCATGTTACTCTTCTGTCATGATCACGATACTGCTCAGCCACTTTTCATAGTTGCGAATATATTTGCTGTGAAAAACAACTGATTCCTACATCCTTCCGTGTTACATGAGGAACGTTTCCTATCATAAAATATTTTCGAGCATAAGATAGTTTATTATGTTTCGGCTTGTTTGGCGCTCCTCTTTTAAATGAGTATTTCCCTCCTTGCTCATAAGCATCTGGCAACACTGGTTCACGTCTTCATCTCTCTCGCACAAAGACAGAAGGAGAAGAGAATGTAGAGCAAATGTAAAAGAAGAAATTGAAAGAATGTACAACAGGGGTGAGTAAAACACGATGCAGAAAGGCCGAAATGTAAACCGGAACATAGAAACCCAGCTTGCTAGTCATTGCTGGAGAAAGAAAAAGCGACACAGATAAGTAAGGAAGATAAGATAGAAAAAGTAAGAGAAGTAAATACATACACACACCAAAAAATTTTTTAATCTTTCAACGGATTGGGCCACTCGTGCAAATCTTCAACCGTGCGTTCATCGCTTTCTGGCGTGACGCTCACCCCGCCATGGTGGTCTAGTGGCTAAAGTACTCGGCTGCTGACCCGCAGGTCACACGATATATTCCAGCTGCGGCGACTGCATTTCCGATGGAGGCGGAAATGTTGTAGGCCCGTGTGCACAGATATGGATGCTCGTTAAAGAACCGCAGGTGGTAGAAATTTCCAGAATGCTCCACTATGGCGTCTCTCATAATCAAATGATGGTTTTTGGATGTCTAACCCAACATATCAATATATGGCGTGGCGATCAACCTTTCAGGCACCTATTGCTCACAGAGTGACTAATTGTCGAAGTGCGCGAAAACTGTTGAGAGATGCTGTCTTGGGAAGCTGTACCGCGGACATTAGCATTGGATGTGTTCGATGGATTCGTTATCACCGCAATGGTCAGATGCAACAATGTCTGTCATTTTGACGTGACAAGCAGTGGCGTTCGTGAAAGACACCCCAAGTTACATACCTCGAAAGAATGTTTGTCACGGGTTGTTTTAATGGAGGCAAAAATCCTGTAGACCCATGTGCTCAGATTTCGGTGCACGTTCAAGATCCCTGGGTAATCGAAGTTTCCGAAGCCCTCTGCTAAGGCGTCTCTCATAATCATATCGTGGTTTTGGGACGTAAAACCCCACAAACGAATCATCAACAACGAATTGGTGTAGACATTAGCATAGAATGTGTTCAATGATTTCGTCACTGCCGCAGTGGTCAGATGCCACACTGTCTGCCGGTGTGTTATTACAAACAGTGGCGTTCGTAAAGGACACCCCAACTTACATGCGGAAGAAAATGTTTGTCACGGATTGGTGTAGCCCAGATGGAATATATTTTGCCGTAGGCACAAACACTTGTGGTTAAGGTGACACCATTTCAAGATATATCGCCACGTCAAATCAGGAGACCATACAGAGAAAAAATACTGAATAAGAAAAAAATAAGGCCAACTTAAGCCCTGCTCATCATGCTTATGTAAGCATTGTTAGCTATCCCGGCCCGGTAAATCTCAAATCAAGGCGCTGCTGATATGTGATGTATCTTTTTATAAAATACAACAGAGCAACTTTTTTGTCTCCCAGCTTGTATATGAACTCAAAACCCGTTCGTCTAACCCCGTCCACGCAAAAGACCCCGTACAGTTTGCCGATACTTTTCCCTCCCCAAACTTGGCCTTTCTTGCTTGCTGGTTTCTCCGAGTGCTTACAATGATGACTGGACACGTCAATAATTCGAGCTGTCTTATCCACTGCCTACTATTCATTCCTTCTCTCCTCCACTAATTTTTTTGCTGTTGCTTCCTTGTGATCCTCTTCTTCTACCTTTGGAACAGAGGAATCAAGGTGAATAAATACGCGTGCTTAACAAAGCAGCTGCATTGGAATCAGAAACACACTCCTGCGCAAAAATTTTCTGAATGAAATCAAGGAAACATACTTCTCTCAAGTGCTTTCCTTTACACACCCTGATTAAACAGGGCTGGCAAATGATGATTTAGACAACGAGGTCGGTGAGGCAGGACTGAGGGCCGCCTTGCAAAAACTCAATACTGGATCAGCACCCGCACTAGATGGCATAACTGACAAAACGCTATGCAATTCGGATGACGAGTCCATAACTAAGTGAACTGAATTTGTTAACAAATCATGGAAAGCAGGGCAGATTCCGCAACAATGAAAGACGGCGAAATCGTGTTAATAACCAAGCCAGGCAAGCGACTGCAGATTGCGGACTTGAGACCCATATCTCTCACATCTTGCGTGGCAAAGCTCAAGGAGCACGTAATTCTGGAGAGGATAACTACCTATCCGGAGGACCCGGATGCGCTTCCACCCACAATGATAGGGTTCAGGAGGAACCTCTCAACACAAGACGCAATGCTACAGTTAAAACATCAGATTATAGATAATCCGGGAACAGCGACGAATGCCATTCTAGGGTTAGACTTCAAGAAGACCTTTGATAATGTAACCCATGCAACGGTGCTAAAAAGGGTAAACGATCTAGGTCTTGGACAACGGACGTACAATTACGCACGTAATTTCTTGACGGGAAGGTAGGCAAAGATCATAATAGGGGGCCTAGTGTCGGAGGAAATCGAGATGGGCAGTGCAGGTACGCCGCAAGGCTAGGTATTATCGCTTATGTAATTCAATCTGGCCCTAATTGAACTGCCAACCAAACTCCAAGCAATCGAAGAACTGAATCATACAATATATGCAGACGACATCACCCTATGGGTGCGAAGTGGGAGTGATGTTCAAATAGATGAAACGCTTCAAAAAGCAGTCGAAACGGTTGACCATTATCCGGAAGGTACTGGGCTAGCCTGCTCTGCGGAAAAATCGGAGCTGCTGCTGTACAGACCTACTCGTAGAGGTCGCAGACCAGGCAACTGCCTGCAAGATCTCGCTCATAGAGAAGAAATACAGATAAGAACAGCCGATGGAAAAACTATACCCATAGTCGACAGGATCAGGGTACTGGGTCTGCTCATCGAAGCCAAGGGCAACAACGGAGAAACCTTCAGACGACTGGATGCAACTGTAGCCCAAATAACGAGACTCATAAAAAAGATAGCAACTTAGCATAGTGGCATGAGGGAGGAAGACACGATAAGGTTGACACATGCATTCGTGATAAGCAGAATAGTATACGTTGCGCCGTACTTAAAATGGCAAGTCGCGGAAAAGATCAAGTTAGACTGCCTCATTCGAAAAATATTCAAACTAGCCATCGGGCTACCGACTACCACAAGCACCGACAAACTGCTACAGCTAGGCCTGCACAATAATATGGATGAGCTCATTGAGGCGCAGCGTACGGCGTAATATGCATGTCTCTCTTAGACACCAGCAACAAGACATATCCTATAGAGACTAGGCATAACGTATCACACACAACACGGTGTCAAGGTGGACATCCCAAGAGAGACCAGGGAAACAACGATGATACCCCCTTGCCAAAAAACATGCACCCCGAACACAATAAGGCCAGACGAGAGACAAGAGCATAGCAAATGCAAAAAAAAAGTTCGGTAATGACAAGGACGCAGTTTTTGTAGCCGCTGCTCGATACAAGCGCAGACGGGGGTTTACGGCAGCCGCAATCGATAGCAACAAACGATGTATGACATGCGCGACGATACGCACCCCAAGTACCGAGACAGTGGAAAAGGTAGCCATAACGCTCGCAGTAGCTCAGACAAACGCAACCGTGATAGTCAGTTACTCTCAAACGGCAGTGAGAAATTTTGCCAATGGCCGCATCTTCCCGGAGGCACTACGTATTCTACAAGGAGGGTGTAGAACAAGCCCCAGAAATACATATGTTATATGGACACCTGCTCACACAATCGTGGAGGACAGCTACAACAGGGCTGTACTTGACGCAGCTCGAGGGCTCACCGACCGAGCTGCCCTCTCAAGTGCCGCCCCAGCCTCCTCCGGTGATTACGGCGCGGCAGATGAGTGGGTGTGGGAAGGCAGAATGACCAAATACAGTGACATTACAAACCATTATAGATTACGGAGGGGCATGTTCCCGCCTCCTCTCCCAAAATCCACAAAAAGACAGTCTGTCGAATGGCGGCAGTTACAAACAAGGACGTATCTGAATTGTGCACTCTCGCAGATTATATATCCTGATATATACAAAACGGACAGCTGCAAGTGTAGCGATTTCAGAGCCACTCTGGAGCATATCTTATGAGAATGTAGAGGGATTAGTGCCCATAACGAGTATGCGACCTCTGTTGACAGCCTTCGCGCACGCTGGTAAGCCGAAGTGCTCAGCCCCGTTCTCGAAGACCAAATGTGAGCCGTCCAGCGGGCCGAGGAAGCCACCAGGATCAAGGGACTCCCGGCCGTAGCCTAGGCGGGACATTCGCCCACCCCATCTACTCGCCGGACTCTGAATAAAGTTATTTCCTCCTCCTCTCAAGCTTGAATGTTTTCTTGTATATCTGCCTAAACTGAGGAGCCAAAAAGAGTAATTCGTGAAATCATTCGATAAATCAATAACTAATTACTGCAAAAAGGTGACCTTCAATGAACATTATGGTCATCAACTTGCATGCCCAAAATAGAATTTGCAAATAGGCGCTAAGTATAAGATTTCAAAAATTTTCCACTCTACATTACGTCCGTCACGTCTTGAAGTTATGTTGGCGTACCTTTCTGGCCATAAAGCGCTGTTACTGCGTTCAAGTTTGTGGCGTGCGACTCACGGTCATGGCGTCTTCATCGGTACCGAAACAATACACAAAAACATTACGACCTTGTGTTTCGGTGCACAAGCTGAAGCAGTGAAACATATTTTAGTCCGCTACCACATTTCTGAACACCTTCAATGATGTTTTTTCGCATATAAATCCATTAAATGGCACAGTTAGGTCTGCTTTTACGGCAATTAGGACATCTATAATCGCTTTACGCTTCCTGAACGTCTACATGGATGGCTGAGAGCGATGTCCCATTGGGGCCATAACACTGTTACACTAAGTGATAATCGTCGTTCTTCGCTCACTGAGTGCTTCTAAAAAGGAAAATAAATGAGGAAATAATTCCACTGACCTTCACTAAAAACTAAGAGCTTTTGCACCAACGTGTCGTTTATCACCATTAAAGTGAACATCATTCGGCCCGGGCCGAAAGCTCGGCGGCCGTTGCTTTTTTTTCCTTCCGTCTTTCCGCGCATTTTGCAGGCTGCACCTAAAGAAGCATCGTGCTAGTCTCTCTGCCATCTGACCTACGCTGAAAAATAGAATATTGGCGTTTTGCCTTAACAGGGCGAAGAGCGTTGAGTATTGGCAAACGCTTTGTTGAGACAAGTGTTGTATAGAAGAAAATGTTTCATCGCGTATCTCTAGCGTAATTACATGCATAATTCAATGTCTCTGAAACCCTGAGTTACCTTGCGAACGAGCAGATATGTTGCGGTAGTTGTGTGGAAACGCGGACACTGTGATCTAATTTGTATCTAGAGAACGTTAATGCTTTTGCGGAATGCGTCCCAGTCACCCTCGTAGCAGCAGCGCTGCAAAGCTGTGCACAGGTCGCGTATGATATTCAGACATGTATCATGACAGCCATCACCTGCTTGGCATATTAACTTTGGAGTTTAACTGAACGTGCCAAAAATGCATCATCAGTTATTATCCGGTGTTTCGCGTGCCTAAATCACGATAATATAGTGAGACACGTAATAGAAGTGTGCTCCAAATTTTTTTTCGTATAATTTTCCGTGAGGTGCATTGACATCGCGCACCACAGCAGCCTGAAGAATTTTTCAGACATCCAAACACGATAGCCACTGCCGGGACAGAACCCGCTATCACGCAGTCAGTCGCTGAGCATCGTAACCACTGCCCCGCCTCGGCGTACAAATCACTATAATGTGCACCACCAAAAAGTACAAGGGAAATAAAGAGAGTGCACTATAAACGTTAGTCACCTAATGTAACGTTAAGCGCACGAACAAATAAGAGTGAAATGTTCACCAAGGTATCTCCAGACGACGTGGTTCCCCACTTCAACAGCCGCCACCGGACGTACGATGTACTTGGAGCGCGATCCAACTCGGAACACTTTTTTTGACCGGCGAGTCTTGAACTGGGTAAGCAGATATGGAATCTCCAGAGGAGCAGTCTCTGGCAGGGCTCCGTAGGCAGTAGTGTCGTTTTCCCAGTAGAGGTAAAAGAAGCTGTTCAAAAGCACGTAACTCATGGTGCGTGGCGCAGCGCGTTTCAGTCTGGTCACCATTGCAGGTAGACTGTCGTCCTTCCGAGGAACGGCAAATTCATCCAAGTCAAGGACGAGGACGTAGTCGAAATGGTTCATGCTGCGGTACACGCAGTCATTGAGAGCTGCGAACAGGCCTTCGGTGCGGATCTCCTTCTGTGACCTGCATGGGAAGCTTGCATTTAGGCAGTATCCACATAACCAATGCAACTACCACCTTTAACTGATCGAAGTGGGAGAGTACTTATTGACAACATACACACAAATGACCTTATAGGGGCGTCAGGAGGAGTACGACATTCAGATTTTGTCAATGGATTGTTTTCATTCCATAGTAAGATCAGTGATTGCAATCTGTTGTCCTATTATATGCAACTGCGTTTAACACAGAACAAAGGGTTACCCAAGCGTTTTCATTTTATGAATTATAACATTGACAGCTATTCTTATTTTAGGGCATATGAAAAGCGCGTAAGGTTTCAGAGAGTCAAAGGAAAGCAATCTGACCAAAACAACATAGTTAGTCAGATTGTTTATAGTGTCACGTTCATTTCCTTAAGTTTTGTTATTTCCCCGTTACACTAAGTTCAACGCAAACCGCGCCTACGATGTTCGAGAAGCTTCGAGGCTTTAGTAGATCGTTTTATTAAGATTACGCCCATTTCGGGAACGTCACAGATTGTTCGGGATTCTACGTCGCCGCTAGCAATAACGCTAGAACATTCGATGGCAAAGGTGTAATTGCTGACACGCTTCGCAGCTTGTCAGTTGATCGACGGCCGACGCTCCGCCCGCTGTTATCAGTATGCGAGTGTCTTGCTGTAATCTGGCATTTCTTTTACGTGGCCACAAGTTAGGTCAATTAAATAAACACTTCATTAGGACAAGTCGTCTTTACCTTTGTCAGCGTCACGGCACTGTGACATCTGGTGGAGGTGCTGGGTATCGAACCAGTACCTCTCGCATGCCAAAGGAAGAAGTGATTTGCCTGTTCCGACCGACCTACCCTGACATAACCGAAAATAAAAAGATCCGTTTGCTCATGCGAGGGGTAAAGCAAGATCTCTTCGCTGGGCTCGTGCGGATTCCACCCGAATCAATTCAAGAGTTTGTCTCGCAGGCTGCGACCATTGAGAAGACTTTAGAAAGGCGTACCCGGCTGTACAATTGCCGAGTGATGCAAAATGGCAAAGCTGTTCACACCCTCGGCTTCTATGACGTATGCGAAACGATCTGACAGATCGTGCGGGAGCAGCTAGGGAAGCTGTTGTTTTCATCGCAGGCCCAAGTGGACTGAATCGCCGACATTGTCCGCAAAGTTCGGCAGTATCTTGGAGTTTCCAAAGCACCGCAGCCTCAGCCGCAAACGATGAGCTACGCTGTTTCTGCCTGACGCAACGTCCCCCCTCCGCTCCCACACCACGCCCACGCCAGACGCCGCCGCTGCCACAACCACCGGCGTCCTATAGTTCTTCTCTCGGCCAGCGCCTCACATCAACAAAAAAGACTTTTGGTACGCCCCTGACAACCGCCGGCTATGCTACAACTGCGGCAAGGCCGGCCACACCAACGTTATTTTAGTAACGTTGGGCCGCACCTGCCACCGCGGACAGTACCTACAGATGGGCTCCGGGGATTCGCCGTCAACGCGCCGCGTCCGCAGCTTGGTGAAAAGCCTCACGATATCGCCGATTACATCACCGAAAACGGTGGCAAGAGGACGACCATACCGTTCCCCGTCTTCCGGCCGCTACAACTCACCGCACTGCCGGCCCTACACTGAACAAATCCATGGTCGGTTGCCTTGCCTGCATCCTTCAGAAACCTAAGGACAGTAACCGATGGAGTGGCGGTTGCTGTACGACGAACTACCGAAAATACTCCACCACTGACGACGACGCCATGACGACACCTTAAGAACGCGGCAGTATCCCGACCTAGCCGTGACATCAGAACTTCATGCACCGAAGACGACCTAATGACGCAACACGGAAGCATCAAAAGAAGCCAACGTAGTCGTGACCCTTCGCCAAAGTCCAACTGCAACACAAAATGACGAACTAGCAACCTCGACGTTCTTATCGACGGTCACAATGTGACAGCTCTCGTTGACACCGGAGCTGAGTATTCCGCCATCAGGGGAGCGTTCGCTACGAGGTTGAAGAAAATGAAGACCGCGTGGGAGGGCCATAAGAGCCGGACAGCTGGAAGTCCCTTAGAAACGCCGACAGAAATCTGCACAGCCAGAGTCTTTATTACCAACCGGATTTACCCCGCAAGCGTTGTGGTGCTACGACGTTGCTCCTGAGACATCATTCTTGGTATGGATTCGCACCTTCACGCTGCAGTGATAAACCTCAGATCAAAGTCGATAACGCTATCAACAAAAAAAAAGCACTGGCACCCCGCGCCTTCAATGTGCTTGGAAGTACAAGTCACCATTTCTTCTCGCTCCAGCGTCAACATTTTCGTCGGCACACGAATAGCAACAAAATGGCAAGGCGTCTTTAAAGGCGCCAAGTACCTGTTGATCAACCACGAAATTTGTGTTGCCAGAGGAATAGCCGAACTGCGAGGAGGGAAAGCTATAGTGATGCTTTCAAACTTCAGCAACGAATATAAGCACGTGAGCAATGGCACCACGGTTGCCTACATCGAAGACACAATGGAAGCCAGCAACCCTTTCGCCCTCGCCGACTCTACCGAAGCTCATACGACGAACCAATCTTGTCAACTAGCTTTCGACGTTAACGCAAGCCTTCCGACGCATAAGCAAGAACAGCTCATAGATCTGCTCCGACAATACAAGGAGTGTTTTTCATCTTCGTCGAAAATTCGACAAACCCCGGTCGCTGAACTTCGGATCCTAACTGAAGAGAGTGCAAGGCTACACCGCCAGAGCCCGTACAAAGTGTTGACGCGAGAACGCGACGCCATAAAGAAGCAGGTCGATGAAATGCTTCGAGACTACACCATCCAGCCTTCAAAGAGTCCATCCATGGGCGTCACCCGTTGTATTAGTCAAGAAGAATGACGACACTCTACGCTTCTGCGTCGAATATCACCGCATGAACAACATCACGAAGAAGGACGAGTATCCTTTCCCCCGCATAGACGAAATCAACGATTGCATTCACAGTGCGAGGTACGTTCCTTTGATGGACTTCAAGACCAGCTATTGGCAGATTGAAGTCGACGAGAGAGATCGAGAAAAAACGGCCTTCATAGTACCGTATTGCCTATTCGAGTTCAAGGCCATGCTTATTGGTCTTTGCTCGGCGCCTGCGACTTTCCGATGTGTTATGAATTCAGTACTGACCAGCTTAAAGTGGCAGACTTGCCTTGTGTACCTGGACGATGTCGTGTAGTCTTCCTGAAACTTCGACTAACATCTTCGGTGCCTTGAAGCTGTACTGCCAGCTATCAAGAACTGCTGACTCAACCTGAAGGTAGAAAAGTGCTGCTTTGTACACGAGGAGCTCTTGTTCCTGGGTTACGTCATCAGCAAGTCCGGTATTCGCCCCAACATCTTCCATTGCCAGCTTCCCACCGCCAACCGACAAGAAGGCCGTGCGTCAATTTCTTGGCCTATGCGCCTAATACAGACGGTTCGTCAAAAACTTCACCCGCATTGCATAGGCACTCACTAGCCTTACCAGGATTGACGTGGAGTTTAAGTGGGAAACTCTGCAAGAGGAAGCAATTCAGGAACTGAAACGACGGCTGTAGACGCCTCTGCTACGTGCGCATTTCAACGATTTCACTGAGACAGAAATACACACCAACGCAAGCAACGTATGTCTCGGCACCGTTCTTGTACAGAAGACTAACGGACTTGAAAGAGTCATCAGCTACGCTAGCCGGTCTTCATCAAAGGCCGAGGCCAACTATTCTCCAAAAGGAAAGTAGTGCCTTGCGACCATCTGAGCTACATTGAATTTCCACCCTTACCTTTACGGCAGGCCTTTCAAAGTTGTGAGTGACCACCACGCCTTGTGTTGGCTAGCTAACTTGAAACACCCTTCAGGTCACCTCGCATGGTGGGGCCTGAGACTTCAAACATTTGACAGTACCATCGTTTACAAGTGTGGAAGAAAACAGTCTGACGCCGACTTCTTGTCACGTGCCCCCGTCAAACCACCGCCAAAGGACGGCCCCGACGATGACTGCTTCCTAGGAACCATAAGTGCCGACGACTTCGCCGAGTGACAGCGAGCTGACCCTGAACTCAGGAGCCTTGTAGAATACCTTGAGGGCAAGGCCACTGTTGTTCCAGAAGTATTCAAACGAAGAGTTAAAACAGTTTTTTTTTTGCGAAATGACGTTCTCCCGAAGAAAAACTTCTCACCACTTTGGGCCAACTACCTTACCTCGTCGTATTACATTCAGCGTAACGTCCAGACGTTCTTGATGCTCTACATGACGACCCGACGTCTGGACACCCTGTGTTTTCCGTACGCTCACCAGAATAAAGGAGAAGTATTACTGGCCACGCCTTTTTACCGACGTCACTCGTTATGTGAAGACATGTCGGGAATGCCAATGACGAAATACACCACCGACTAGGCCAGCCTGACTTCTCCAGCTCATCGAGTCACCTCACTGGCCGTTCCAGCAAATCAGGATGGAGTTATTGGGGCCATTCTCGACGTCAAACTCCGGGAAGAAATGGGTCGTCATGGCTACCGACTACTTTACGCGCAAAGCCGAGACAATGGCCCTTCCGAAAGGCGGTGTCGCCGTGGTAGCCAAATTCTTTGTCGAAAGCATTGTCCTGCGTCCCGGAGCCCCACAGGTCCTCATTACTGACAGAGGTGCGGCCTTTACGGTGCACCTGACTCAAGCCATCCTGAGGTACAGCCAGACAAGTGACCGCCGGACCACTACCTACCATTCACAGACCATTGGCCCCAGCGAGCATCTTAATAAGACCATCGCCGACATGCTGGCCACGTACGCCGACGTCGAACACAAGACGTGGGATGCCATCCTTTTGTACTTGACCTTCGCAGACAACACCGCCGTTCAAGAAACGATTCAAATGACGGCGTACAAACTGGTCTACGGAAGAACCCTGGCTACGACGCTCGACGCCAGTTTACCCAGCGTCACCGACGAAGAAAACGTCGATGTGAGCGAGTACCTTCAGCGCGCCGAAGAGGT